TGGACAGGGAGGCCTGGCATGCTGTGGTTCATGGGGTCGCAAAGAGTCGTACACAACTGAGTGACTGAACTGAACTGAGACTTCTGTGTATTAATTTTGTATCCTGAAACTCTACAGAATTTGTTTATTTTAATTTTCCTTGATGGAGTCCTTAGGATTTTCCATATTTAATATGTCATCTGCAAATAGTGAAAATTTTACTTTTTCCTTGTTATTTGGATGTCTTTTTCTTTTTTTTTCGTTCCACAGAATGACTTAAGACTCATCCAGATTTGCTCACTTTTATTACTTAGTAGAATTCCATTGAATGGGTATAGAAATAGTTGGTTTACCACACTGTCTTGGTGAGAGTACCTTTATGATAACTTAAGTCAAATCAGGAAGAAGTATTCCAACTTTGGTATTTTTTTCTTCTTTTTAATATTCTAGATTCTTTGCTTTTTATATTAATTTTAGTGTCAGCTTGTCAACTTTTACCAAAAAATTTGATAAATTTTTTTACTTGAATCTATTGAATATATAGAAAAATTTGAGATAGTTGACATCTTAATAATATTAAGATAATATCAACATCAAGGAAATATAAAATGTTCCTTTTTTTTTCCCCCATGTTTAACAACTAAAAATCAATACCAATCATAAACAAGAACATCTCTTTGGGAGTTCTAGGATCCAGCACCTCATTACAAGAGACCCAAGAAAAGTCTAAAGTGAAAGTGAAGTCGCTCAGTCATGTCCTACTCTTTGTGACCCCATGGACTGTAGCCCACCAGGCTTCTCCGTCCATGGGATTCTCCAGCCAAGAATACTGGAGTAGGTTGCCATTTCCTTCTCCAGAAGGTCTTCCCAACTCAGGGATCGAACCCAGGTTTTTCAGCATTGTGGGCAGACACTTTAACCTCTGAGCCACCAAGAAAGCCCAAGAAACAAAAGGCTAACCCACCTCTATATGGGCTGTGGAACCAGCAGAAGCCATTGAAACTGTTGCTGTTGTTCAGTCACTAATACAACTATTCACAGCTGCAATTGAGAAAACCTGCAGGATGTTGATGTGGATCGGCACCTATTGAGAAAAACTTCATAGAAGTCCAGACATCTGGAAGGGATTCTAGCACATCACTGGAGAAAAAATTACAAGTTTTAAAGCACTGGGGAAGATCCTGGCGTACCAGTGCTGTGCCAGTACTGTACTGTTCACATACAATTTTCTTAAGATGGTAGTGAAGTGAAAGCCGTTCAGTTGTATCTGACTCTTTGCCACTCCATAGACTATACCGTCCATGGAATTCTCCAGGCCAAAACACTGGAGTGGGTAGTCTTTCCCTTCTCCATGGGATCTTCAAAACCCAGGGATTGAACCCAGGTTTCCTGCATTGCAGGTGGATTCTTTACCAGCTGAGCACAAGGGAAGCTCTTAAGATGATAGAACTCATATTACATGTTCAAAACACAATAAAATAATATCTCAATAAATAAATAAAATTTTATTCTGTTTACATGTGCAGTGCTTGGCATTAGTTATTTCTTAATTTAGGCAAAAACAACCATGAAAAGCTTGTGATAAAAATTATATGCTCTCAAATTTTGAAAATTATTCCAGTGGACATATTGACTTGTTTTAATATATATGTGATTCTTTATGAGTTAAAGTGTTCCTACCCAAGTGTGGGAGAAGACTTGATATTTGCTAGGATTATGAAAACCCAAAGAACAAGGAAGCAGGAGACAGAATTTCAGCAGGTGATAAATCAAGAAGAATGAATCTCTAAGGATGTTTTGGAACTATATCCTTTTGCGGGTTTACCGTTTATGTAATATTTGACTTACTGTTTGGCAAATATGGAGTTCACTGGAAATGCAGTGACTGTACATTTTTGGGAAAGGTCACCCAAAACATACACATGTACACCTACCTATAAATATATCTATATATAGAGAGAGAGACATATAGTGAGAGAGAGAAGGGCAAAGAGAGTTAGGTTTTTCATTTACCTTCAAGAAACGAGAAGGCATTCAGGTTGGTGATAGTGAGTATGACTGTCTGGTGTTATAAAGTTTATTTAATATACTTCAAAAGTAATGTATCTATATGTGAAATTTATTTCTACCTTAAAAAATATGATTTTCCATTGAACTTTTAAACCTTGATTATATGCATATAAATTTTTTCTAGGAGATTTCTTCTTTTTCTCCTTCTTTGGGGCTTGATTTCATGATTTGGGAAAAGAAAGAGCAAGCAATGTTCTGAATGTGTAACAGGAACAGGCTATATGTCCACTAGGCTCTGTCTCCTCACTATATAGTTTCTAACTTGAAATAAAACCTGACTGATCTTCAAATCAACACGGGTAGAATGGTACTCTATTCACAATCTCTATGAAAAGTGATAGGAGTTTGGAAAAATATTCAGTTTTTATTAACAATGTTTGTGGGGTCTTCTGGAAAATTTCACTTATTTTAGCAATTCAAATGATATTCAAGGAATGTCTAGTGTTTATAGCTATCAGAAAAAACCAGCTTAGGTTCCTCACAGTTACCAGTCTGGTATCCTATGGATGTCATTCTCTTTGGTTCTCTCCCTCTCATCTCTAGTTGTTTCCTCCCCTCTGCCTTCTCTCCTAGGCTACCTCTACCATTAAAACCTGAATGCTTTGAATTAAACTCTATACTGCCTTGGTCAAGAGAACATACACAAATTCATTTCTTTAGGAAAAAATAACCCTAATAAACATTGAAGAGATTCATGTAGTGAATGAGATAGAATATTTATTTTAATTTTTGATAAAAGATAAAGGGACATAGGTAGCTCTTAAGAATAGTAAGTTCAGTCATTTTTAATTTTATTTTAGCTGTTAGTATATATATGATTTCTAATAAGTGAAAGCCACTCAGTTGTGTCTGATTCTTTGTGACCCCATGGACTATACAGTCCATGGAACTCTTCAGGCCAGAATACTGGAATGGGTAGCCTTTCCCTTCTCCAGGAGATCTTCTCAACCCAAGGATTGAACCAAGATGTCCCCCATTGCAGGCAGAATCTTTACTAGCAGAGCCACAAGGGAAGCCCACTTATTAGAAATCACTTATGAAGCTAACAAAGAGTTAGGTTTGAAAAGTACTGCTAATAGCATGATTAATTTTCATTTATTGAGCAACAAATGCTTATGGAGCCAAGGTTTGAACAGGATGCTCTGTAGCTTGTTACCCAGCCATCCTTTTGTTTGACTAAGTCTAAAGCCTTAGCTTACCTTTGGGATTTTAAGAGCAAGCAAGCAAGCCCCAAGTCGACCTAAAGTGAAAGGGATTGAGAAATGCATGGATGGTACAGGCAAGAGAGCAAGCAGAAAGAGTTGGTACCACTGGACTATCACTAGCTTGTACGTTCCTTGAAGGCAGCGAACATGCCATTCCTTCATGTATTCCTTGGGCTACTATTGTTTGTTTTTTTGTCAAATGATCATGTCAAGTTTAGAGCAGAAGACTGCAGCTGTGGAAACTACAGCCATATTTGGATATGATGTATTTGAACAGAGCGTAGGGGAAAATATTAAGTATGAAACTGAAAAAATTACATGGTTGCAAATGGAACACAATGGAGCATTTGCAAGGTAGGGGTGGCAGCAGGGTTATGTTAGCTCAGGCATCCCTTGGGAAAAGTATTCATTAGGAAAGGGGAAGAGTTGATGGCGATCTTTGCAATAGGAATGGAGAGGAATCAGGACACCTGAAGTTAAAAATAGAGCAGTGGTTATTGATTGTCATATTTATCATGTGAGGCACAGCAGGTGAACAGAAGAGTTGTTCAGTGGGTCATCTTTGAATCCAGATATTTTAAAACGATAATATAAAGATTTATCTGTATTGCCAATGTTTGAGTAACATTTGTTCTGCCATTTTGAGGGGATTAAAGCAAGTTTTCACATACAAAACAGACAGACTTCCTTGTTTTATTCACAGTTTCAAAAAAGACAACTATTCTGAGTGTTACCTTTCTCTCCCTTTTCTGACAAATGGTGTATCATTTTCTTAGGGCTGCTGGAGCAAAGTACCACAAGTGGGTTTACATTTGTGGAATCTGTAAATCTAAAGTAAAGGTGTTTGAAGGGCTATGCTCCCTCCAGAACATATAAAGAAATCTTTCAATGTCTCTTCCTAGTTTGGTGGTTTGCCAGTAATCTCTTTTGCCCCTTGGCTTCCATTCTCTTTGCCTTCACATGGCCATCTTCTTAGAAGAAGACCATTCATACAGGATTAAGTGTTCACCCTACTCCTGGATGGCCTCATCTTAACTTAAATTTCATCTGTAATAACTCTACTTCCAAATGCAGTGACATCCAGAGGTATTGAGGACTTCAATTTATCTATGTTTGGGGTGTCAGTGGGAGACCAACCTAAACCATAACAGATGGTAAATAGCAAATATCTACAAGGGTAGGTTGATAAAATGTCATTTGGAAAACTAGAATCATGTACAAAACTGAATAACTTACCAGAATAGCAGAAGTACTATAAAAATCTTCTAACTGACAAAGTGATGAGAAACAGGAGAACGATATGACAGATAAGGTAGTAAGTGAAAAATATGTGAAGAAAAGAGCAAGGCAGCTCAATATCATGACTTCATGTTATATTGTAATATTTACCACATGATGCAATAAGTTTTTTCCCCTAATAGGTTGAAAATGTGGTGGCTACTTGTAACAGTGTGTTTCATCCACATGTCTGGAAATGCGTTTTGTTTACTTGGAAAAATTGCTGAGAACCCTGAAGCCAATATGAATGTTGTAAGTTATTCATATCACTAATATTTTTAAAACAACACTTCCAAAGATATTGATGCTATTTGCTCTCATTAATTCTTTTAAAATACATTTTATTATAAAGTTTGAAATATTTCTTCACAAAATATATGTTAGCAATCAATAAGAAGTTTTACAATAGGAATCATAAAAATGGCCCAGTAAACTCATGAAGCTAATTTTTTTTTTTCCTCCATTCAGAGTCAGATGATTTCCTACTGGGGCTACCCAAGTGAGATGCATAAAGTTATAACTTCGGATGGCTATATCCTTCAGGTCTATCGGATTCCTCATGGAAAGAATGATGCTAATCATTTAGGTAGGACTGGTTGTTGTTCAGTCACTAAGTTGTGCTCCACTCTTTTGCAACCCCATGGACTGTAGCCTGCCCGGGTCCTCTGTCCATGGAGTATCCTGGCAAGAATACTGAAGTGGGTTGCCACTTCCTTCTCCAGGGGATCTTCCCCACCCAGGAACTGAACCCACACCTCCTGTGTTGGCAGGAAGATTCTTTACCACTGACTCACCAGGGAAGCTTGGGTGGGGGACTGGAATGAGGGAAAAAGATGAGTGTCTCAAATCTTGAATGAAATACGTTCCAGTCAAATGTATTCTAATTATAGAACATGAGATTAAGCTACTCACAGGGAAAGAAAAATCCTGGAACCACCTTGGACTTCTGAGATTAAGCTGAGGGTCTGAGTACACCAGATCTACATTGGCTTCAATGATGTGCACACTGGCCCATGATTTAGTTTGTTGTGCTGGGTGGGAACTCAGAGTCCCTGAATAGCAGACCCACTTAATTAATATTATGCTGAATTTCCTTATGATATAATTTTCAATAGCTTTTTGAGTTTAATTGGCATACAACCCACTGCACACAATTTAAAGTATACAGGTGAACACATTGTCATCTGAGAAACTATTACGGCAATTAAGATAACAATTTTTAAAATATTCGCCTCACCAAGCAAACTTATTTAATTCTGCTGCTGCTGCTGCTAAGTCGCTTCAGTCGTGTCCAACTCTGTGCAACCCCATAGACAGAAGCCCATCAGGCTCCCCCGTCCCTGGGATTCTCCAGGCAAGAATAGTGGAGTGGGTTGCCATTTCCTTCTCCAATGCGTGAAAGTGAAAAGTGATAGTGAAGTCGCTCAGTTGTTTCCGACTCTTAGTGACCGCATGGACCGCCACTTACCAGGCTCCTCCGTCCATGGGATTTTCCAGGCAAGAGTACTGGAGTGGGGTGCCATTGCCTTTTCCTATTTAATTCTAGTTTTCCTGTATTCATGTTTATCTGAGAATAAGTAGTGAGTTTATAATAATTATCTTTTTTAGGTCAGAGACCTGTTGTGTTTCTGCAGCATGGTCTTCTTGGATCCGCCACAAACTGGATTTCCAACCTGCCCAACAACAGCCTGGGCTTCCTGCTGGCAGATGCTGGTTATGATGTGTGGCTGGGGAATAGCAGAGGAAATACCTGGGCCCAGGAACATTTATACTATTCAACAGACTCCCCTGAATTCTGGGATTTCAGGTAAAGAAAGAGAGAATTGAAAGTAAATATTGAGTTAAAAATCATCAATATTCACTGTTCCAATCCAGTCATGTCTTAACAAGTCACACTTCAAGTAGGAGAAGAAGGAAGTCCTTTGATTCTAATCTACCTTTAGATTTTTCATACACCTCATTCCAAGGGTAGTTTTCCTCCTAACTGTGATCCCAGTGCCCACTATTACGAGATTCCCTGAATCTGCTTTTCTACCAGGATTGAGCAAAATGAATAAGCAAGGAAATTTGTTGCCCTCAGCATATTCTAAAGGAACATCCATATGGATTTAAACCCAGCTGGTGTTCATGGACATCTCTCATCAGCAATAATAAAGTGGAGGGGGAGACAATGAAATTCAGACACCATGGAGAGATTATCAAAGATTTTTCTCCTACTGGCATCCTTGTGCCTTATTTCTGGGAATTACTAGTGGAAGTGGAGAACAGAAGAGAAGTTGGTTGATGAAGCTGAGGCACAAAAGTCCTCTAAAAATACTAGGAACTGAAAAGAAGTTCATCTGTCCCAATTGTAGTGAGGAAGAGGAAGACTGAGAAGAGAGACTAGAGATGCTGACACGCCTGGATCAGGGTGGGCTGTGTAGGTCACAGTGAGGGCCTTGGAGCTCATTCTGAGTGTAATGAGAAGCCTCTGAAAGGTTTTAACAGGGGAGGGGCATAGCCTGTTCTCATTTTCAAAAAATTATTCTGGATAACTTGTAAAGAATAAAATAGAGAAATCATTCATATTACATGGTAGTAGAACACTAAATACAAGTCATTATTAAATCTGACAATCAGGTTCAGGGATGGAAGCAGTCCTCAACTACAAATACTTTGGTGTTTCAAATTGGATAAAACTGCAGATATCATGCTGTGCTTTAGAAATAATGTCAGCTCTTTACAGGAAGTCACCCCCAAAGAGCCCCTGACACTCAAATAGTCTGTAAGCAGCAATATTTAGAGCATCCAGTTTTCTATTTTTCAAAGGAAGCTTTAGCTTAAGTAGGTTTGATTTATGGAAATTATAACAAAGATGTGTATTTAGTTAATTTTGTCTTTTTCTTCACAGCTTTGATGAAATGGCTGAATATGACCTTCCATCCACAATTGATTTCATCTTAAAGAGAACAGGACAAGAGAAGCTACACTATGTTGGCCATTCCCAAGGCACCACCATTGGTAGGTAAAAGCAATTAGCAAGTAGTGTAGTTCATATAGATCCTTTTCCGGTGGTCATGCAGGCATTTTGATCTTCGTGCTTGCTAATTGCTTTCCATTCATTATATAATGCAATGTCTAAAACAGCCCTCTGATATAAGGACATTATTATTCCTATTGCATGTATAGGCAAACTATACAGTGGGTGAAGAAATAATTCGTGTAAGTGATAACTTAGTTATTATAAGTAGGGTAGCTCAGATCCCAAGTCAAGCAATCTGACATACAAACCAATGCCGTGAACCTTTGTACCACATGGTCTCTGGTTTGTTCATTTCATTCGGTCAACCCTATTTATAGGTATCATATAACCTATCCTAAGGATACAGCAAAAAAGTGAATAGTTTAAAATCTCTGTCTTTTTACTACTAATACTCTAGCAGGAAGAGGCGGAGAAAAAGATAAGTAAAATACATACGATGCTAGATAATGGTAGCATTTTTCTATGAAGAGAAAAATAAATCAGGGAGTCAGATTGGGGAGCATCAGAGGGGTGCTTATGACTGACTCTTATGCTTTTATACAGAACATGTTGGACATCGCTTAACCTTTTCTCAATGATACAGGGTTATAAAATTATTGCATTTAGCTGAAATGCAGAAATTCCGTTAAGATTTATTGAGGTAAATAAAACCACATGTCCTAACAGAAAGTAACCCCAAGCTACTGCTCTTTTGAGTATTTAAATTTTGAACATTTCCACTGTTCTTACTCACCAGTGGAGAGTTTGTCATTGAGTCACCACACTCATAAATTTCAGGAAGGTGTTTCTTCTGCCTTCTAATTTACATCTACCAGTCATGCTGTGTACATGAAGTTTAGTTAAGTATCCTTGATAGAATTGCATCTAAAATGGGATTAAGCTTGTTTTGAGGAGTTGCCTTTCCTGACCCTCGATGGACCCACTGACACCCACTCTGTCAGTAGTGCTGCTACTAATTCTCTAGCGGGAGGAGACTGACTCTCCTTGCGAATGATTCCTGCTTACTCTGGGTGACCTGCTGGCTCTTATCTTCAGAGTTAGGAAGCCAGATAAAGAACTCCTTAACAAACAGAGTGCTGTTGGAAAGAATGTTCTTTCAGTGAGATAGGCTGGATATTACTGAGTTAGTTACGTAAACCTGAAAAGTGTGGGTTTTTTTGCTTTATTTAAGTTTTGCACATCTGAAAAGTTTTGTTTCAAGCTGTTCTTAAGTCTAGTCAACATGCCATTATTAACAGTAAGGAGAGATTGTCCTATGAAATTCAGCTGTAAAGAATTTAAGTTAATAATTCTTTAATTAGAACCCAGTCTATTTATATGCTACTGTTCGTGAAAACAATTAAAAGCAGATAGGGGCTGAGAATATTGTATACAAATATTGGAATTATCTCAGCTTCTCATTTTTTAAGTATTACTATGTGACTAGTTCCTGGTAAATATTTTACATGATTCAACTTAATTATTTCCTAAACAACCTAAGGAAGTATTCATCATTATACCTATTTTCAGATGAGGAAACTAAAACTTTTAGAGTTTAGGTCTCTTTTCCAAGGTCACAAAGCTAATAAACCACAGAACTAAGTTTCAAACTCTGTTTCAACACATTTCAAATTTTGCTTTAACCTTTCCACTTATATACCTTATTCATGTTAAATGCTAATTATATCTTTGTTATAAGATGAGATAATTTTAACTTGAACCAAACCTACTGTAATATAAATTATAACACTTTTATTACCATGGGATTATTCTAAAGTTGGCCTGGTTTCAAAAGTCAGATAAAAGAGTTAAACGTAACTTTTGAAAAGTTTTAACTTCATGTCCAGGGCTTCCCAGGTGGCTCAGTGGTAAAAAAAATCTTCCTGCCAAATGGGAGATGTGAGTCAGATCCCTGGGTTGGGAAAATCCCATGAAGAAGGAAATGGCAGCCCACTGCAATATTCTTGCCAGGGAAATTCCTTGGACAGAGGAGCCGGGCGGGCCCAGCACATGGGGTCGCAAGAGTCAGACTCGACTTAGCAACTAAACAACAACAGCAAACCTCATGTCCCCAGCGAGAATCTATGAAAACAAAATATACTAAAATCTGACCATTTTGTTGATTTCAGGCTGTCCCAGATGGCACCCTTAGTAAGTCCAAAGTAATGATGTCATACTTGTAAAACACATTCACACACACACACACACACACACACACACACATCCCTACCTTTACACATATTCCTTGTTCTGTTTCAGGTTTTATCGCCTTTTCTACCAATCCCACACTGGCTGAAAAAATCAAAGTCTTCTATGCATTAGCCCCAGTTGCCACAGTGAAGTACACCCAAAGCCTGTTTAACAAACTTGCACTTATTCCTCACTTCCTCTTCAAGGTATGTGATTCCCTTTAACTGGATCTAAGATATTGAATTGTTTGTGGATTTCAAAGTGATAGAAAGAGAACAAACAGCTGGTGGACAATCATGTTTATATCCAAGAATGGAAATGAATGTTTATATTATATTTTGAATAGCACTGACCATGTTCAAATCCCCATTATAGTTTAAGAGATCCCCACTTTTTTAAAATTCTCCATTTCTTTGTGTGCTAGCAACACCTGGGAGTGTTTTTGCTCCTTCGTGGGTGTTTCTTTACCAAGTATCCACACAAGCCTTCAAGGCTGTGTTTCCACCCTCAGCCTGGGGAAGAGGAGCTAAAAGCAACACAAAAAAATCAAATAAGATACCTAAACTACCCGGTCCATGAAAAGTGGGAAGAGGAAGAACAGGAAAGAAAGAGAAGGGAAAGGAAAAGGAGAGAAAGTGTAAGATAGCAGTGGTGAAATAAAGCAAGAACTTGGAGACCCCTCATCAAATACCCTTGGTTTTCCAAGTCTTATTCCTAAGAAGTGTTCTTTCTTTAAACAGGGATTTCATAGGGTAGTAGAATAGATTTCAATAAGCTGTAGATATAATGTAGGCATATATGTTAGGGATTTAATAATCTTTCCTTTATCCAAAATTTAATCACCTTCTCCCACCCCCTGAAACCAACACACACACACACACACACTCCTTTAGAACAGTTTGCCTCCAGCTACAAAATTTAATGATGCTATTTTTTTCTATGGTTGTGTGCTATTCATATTTTTTTTCACTCAGGCGTGTGCTGTTCGTTTTTTTCTCACTAAACTAACACAGATATCTAAAACCTAAAAGATTTTTACCTGCAACATTATTTGTAAAACTTTTACTCAAAATGTAAAATTGTGTGATGACCCTGAATATATTAACTGGCTGCACTGATTCAGAGCATGTTTACTTTTTACTTGTACTCAGAATTTCTGACAGGCAGTGTAGAGAGGGGTTTGGAAAAAAAAAAAGCATTAGACCTTAAGTCAAACTCTTGAGGCTTGGATCAGGATTCTAGCTGCAATCCAGTTCTCACTAGACCAAGACCCTGACTATTTATTAATCTTATGTTCTCCTGTATAAAATGGGGATGACAGAGTACAAACAACCAGTAATAAATAAATAAATCACATGGATATAATGTCCAGAAGAGAGAAAATGGTCAATAGTTTATAGTAGCTTTGTATGTGTATAATTTTGAAACTTTGGGTGTAAATTTGAAAATATGGAGTCACTAAGTCGTATAACTGAAACTAATATAATATTGTAAATCAACTATACTTCAATAAAAATAAATAAAATTGTGGTAGCAAAGTGTCAACCTTCCTCAAGAACAATAAGGGTGAGTCTTTTCAATTATTAAGCTACCAAACCTCTTTGTCTTTTTAATGT